GGGGCAGGAGCTCCAGGATGCTCGGGGATTGGTGGAGCGTGTGTGTCCCAGAGCATGCTGGGAGTGGTAGTGGCGGTAGAGACGCAACCCGGCGTGGGATCCCCGGAGCCCCAGCGCTTGGGGCGGGGTAACCCGAGCCCTTGAAGCTGCGAGGGTGGCTTAGCTTCAGTGTTTTGGCTGAGAACGTCCTGAAAGCTTAAAATAAAACCTGCCTGCAGGCTGTGTGGGGGAGGACAGAGGTCTGTGACATAGGATGCTCGGGGCTGGCGCTTGTGGGCCCGGCCGCCGCGCGCACTCCCACACACTCACGTGTGTGTGTTTCAGGGGGGCCCTTCTCCCACACCGGCCGGCACCCCCTTCCCACACTTACAAAGGAAATGCAGGCCGCCAGGAGGAGGATCCGCACCAGGAGATCTTCAAACTGCTCTATCACCAACTCCCATAGGGATTTCCCTAAGGACAACAGGCAGCAGGGAAGGGGGGACACCCCCAGAACCCGGGTGGTCAGGACCCAGAGTAGGAAGGTCTGGGTCCCTCAGGGCAGGCGGCGTCCCGGGACTGAAATGCCCTGAATCGCCGGCCCCCTCCCGCCCTTATGGTGATGGACAGACAACTTTCAAGGGAGAGAATGGTTGGGCTGGGGTGGGATGAGGTGGGGTGGGGCAGAAAGGGGAGGGCGTGCAGGAACCTAACCCAGGCTCTTGGGGATGGTGAGGGAGGCAGTTGTTAAGGGTTGGATGTGCCTCTGGCTGGCCTCTGTTCTCTGGGGATGGGGTGTGCTATTTGCCTTTGGGCATGGGGTATTTGCCCTCAGGAGGTCTGTAAGGAGAAGGGAAAGGGGCAGAAGGCAGGGGATAGGGGCCAGAGATGCAGGAACTTACCTTCCTCGGCAGGAAGCTCTATCCAGGGGAAAAAAAAAAAAAAAGGCATCTTCATTTGGGGTTCAGCCTGGGGATGCCCTCCCCTGTCCCTGGACATTAGCTAAGGCAAGAGAATCAGGCCACCAAGAGGGAGTCTGAGGTCCCTCAAGGTCACCCTGCTCCGACTGGCCAGGACCCCCTTGCACCCTGCCCTTCCCTAGGTAGCCTAGAGGGAGAGAGGTGTGCATGTGCATGCGTGTGTAGGGTGCAGGAGAGAGCTCAGCCACTCTTGGAGGGACACTTACCATTGGGGCCATATTTCTCTAGATGCCGCTTCACTTGGTCCGGGGTGAGGCCAGTGGTCTCACTCACCCCAAAATAGGCCAGACATTCCTCTGTGCTCTTGGAGTGTGCGGCCTCCATTGCGCTCCCTTCTTGGGGGGCCCTGGGGCGGTGTGTTCTTGCTGCGGGTGGCTCTCACGTGTGTGTGTTTCAGGGGGCCCTTCTTCAAGCGTGTCCACCTGTTGGTCTGAGCTTCTTCCTTTTCCTCTCCTGTCCCCCCCCAAGGTGTTTTTTTTTCCTTCTCTCCACGAAGCTCTGACCCCAGTCCCACTTGTAGCAGCCGGCCACCCCCCCAGCCCCCAGCTGGTGCTTATGAGGGAGTGGGGGGGCCAGGCTCCCCCCTCCCCCGGATCAGGGATTGGCTGGCGGAGCCTTCAGCAGGAGTGGTCAGAAGAGAGAGATATTTCTGCTGACAGAGGGGGAACAGTGGGGCTGCAGCTGAGATGTCACTCATGAAGGAAGCAAAGGTGGCTCTAGCCCCGGCAGGGAGGGAGGGGGACAGGGAGCAAATGCACTTGCTATGTCCTGCTTCTGACCCCTCCCGCAGTCACCCCGCTTCCACTGGGCCATTGGGCTCCCCGTGCGCCAGTCATCCCTCCTCCCTCCTCCAGTTCTTCTCTGAAGCCCCTGGCCACTTGGTTTTCCCATCTGCTGCCCTGGCTTCATTTCCATTGCCTCTCTCCTTGTCTGCTTGGTAGGAAGAATAGCTCAGATACTCCTCCAAGCCTACAGGGGACAGCTTCTTTGGGGGAGGGCACAGAGGAAGTGGCTTAGAGGGCTGAGGGGAAGCAGAGAGGGGGACGGGGTCAAGGGGACGGGGCAGAAGATGGTAACTTTAGCCTAGGGAGGGGCTGCCACAGCCATCAACAAGGGATTTAGTGTCCAGGGCCTGGTGAGCCATGCCAGGACTGTCTGTCTCTCCCCTTAAACCACCCCCCCTTCCCTAGCACCCGGCTCAGCCTCTGGGAACACAGCCTTTAGGGCCCCCCCATCCATGACAGGGAATTCCCTCCCCCGCTCCAGAAAAATGGGACACCTAGGCAGCCGAGTAACCCAAGAGGCTACAGAATGTGCTGATGGCAAAGGAGGCGGGATCACTCCCACAGTGGGGGCGAGGGTCACCTCCTTGCACCCTGTGTGTGCTCTGACCCTAGGGTAGGTCCCCAGTTGTCCACTGAGGTGGGGACATGTCTCTGAGCCCCAGTGTGTGCTCAGGAGCTGGGCCTGTCTGTCCCCAGCAGCAGCAGCCAGAAGGGGCTTGAGGATTGGAGAAAGCCAAGGTTTGAGATTTGGCAGTGGGGAAAAGGGACATGGTTTTTTGGGGGAAATTAGGACAGAAGTGGGCAGGGGTGAGTTAACGGATGGTGCTGCTGGGGTCAGGGGGAAGTCTGAGCAGCAATGAGGAAAAAGGGACCTCGGGGAGCTGGCTGGTGAAGGCCAGAGGGGCGGGGACCCAGGCGTTGGGTGCCACAAGTTGTTGTGGAGCAGAGCGGCTGGCCTTGGTGTCAGCTTCCTCCACAAAGCAGCTGCTTGGAGCCAGCCCTCCCCACCCTGCTCCAAGATGGGGGTGTCTTTTGGTTTACCACACCAGGGTCGGGGAGTGGGGGGCAGCTGCTCTTGGAATGAAGGGTCCTGTGGCTGAGAGCAGCAGGCAGGCGCAGAACAGGTTCTGTGGAAACACCAAGGGTGGGCCTGTTTTCCTAAAACGTGAGCACTGATGGGACGATGACTGAACGGACAGAGCTCCTGGGGTTGCAGAGAAGCGTAGAGGAGAGAGGGATGAGGCAAGGGAAGCCCTGCTGTCAGGCAGGGGTGATGGCCCGCGGGGTGGAGGGAACCTATGGCTCTGGTCTCCCAGAGCCCTCCTTCAGCCTGCGCTTGGGGGAGGGACGGCCCCCGGGTGAGCTGGGGACAGGCGCTGTTCTCCTCCCCTTTTTCACAGCTCCCACAAGCCCTGACCCTGAAGCAGGCAGAGTCCCGTGGTGACCTGGAGGGGCGTTTGGAAGAGGGGTGGAGGGATGTACTGGGGGGTTGGTTCAGACTTCTGAGGCTAGGAGTCTTGGGGGGTAGGGGGTCCCTCCACCTGACCCGGCACCCGCCCAGGCACTTCTCAGTCCAGAGCTCAGCTCAACAGCTGGCAGTCTCCAGACTGGCTTGCTGGCTTCTGCCTTCGGGCACCTGGAGGAGTGACAGGGGCTACTGTCTCTGGCAGCAGGAATGCCCAAACATGGAGAGGGGGGAAGGCAGCAGGAGATGGGGCGGTGGCTTCAAGGGAGCTGAGCGCAGGAGATGGAGGGCAAGGAGGTAGCTTCAGCAGCAGGCTCTTGCCAAGCAGGCCCTTTAAGGTGATTCCTTCCTGCCTCCTTCACCTTCCCAGGCGGGGAAGCCACCAGCCAAGGGCCATTGGGGAGGCTGTGGGTGGTGGGGACTGGGATGAAGGGAGACCAGACTCTCCCCTTTGGGAGTCCTCAGGCCCGGAAGGGGTGGCAGGAGTTCCTTCCTCCTTGGGTGCTGAGGTCAAGGGAGGGAGGCGAGGTTCTGCAGCAAGCTTAAGCACCTGCAAAGGTGGCTCAGGGCAAGCTGCTGTCAGAGGGTACTTGTCTGGGGAGTGAGTGTGTGTGTGTGCACTTGGGGGGGGGTCTTGTGGCCCCCCCCTGGGCCCTCTAGAGAAGGCAAGTCCAGAAGATTGGCAGTCTGGGGAAGGGGGGAGCTGTCTCTAAGCACCAGTTGCTGTGAGATTAGGAGAGGATCAGGCCCTGCTTACCAGGGCGTCACAGCCCTTGCTCGCCATGGCTGTGACACAGCACCCAGGTGTCCCTAGCAGGCCCCTGGCCTCCCTTGCAAGGCTACTTCTAGCCCTAGTCTACAGAAGCCAAGGTTTCAGGAAGCCCCAGGGATGAGACAAAGCAGCGAGAGCAGGCAGCAGGCTTCCCCGGCTAGCCTTGGGCCTGGGTGGCCTGTGTGCCCAGCTGTCTCCTGTCCATCTCCCAACAGGACGCAGGGCCCAGAATAGCAAGGTCAAGAGTATGGGGAGGGCCTGCTGGAGGTGGGAGCCGAGGATGGGGGCCCAAAGGTATGGGCTCCACTCTGCCTTAGGCGGCGAGTGGAGGGCTCTTCCACTTCCCAGACCCTGGCCTCTCCCAGCCCCACAACTGGGGAAACTAGGGGTGTCGTTGGAGGAATGCTCGGCCTCAGCCCAGAGAATCAAATCAGAGCAGAGGCTGGCTTTGACGGGGTACAGGGGGAGGACAAGGTTGTAAACTCAGATGGCCATGGGCCAGGTTGAATGCTGGGGTGGGAGGGGTCCTAGGCAATGGGACCCAACTTCCGGTACTGGCTGATGTGAAGCTTGAGTGGACTGCCGTCTCCAGGCCCAACCCGCATGGAGCGGCTCGCCCAGGGAGCAGATGGCAGGGTCCGCCCCAGAGGGGTATGTGGGCCTGACCCTGGATGTCCCTGCAGCTAGATTCCAGGGCTGCCCATGGCACCTCTCCCAACAGCCACCGGGCCTGGATGCCTGTTCCCATACTCCCACCTCTCTCTCTTGGAGCAGGAAGGTCCTTTGGAGATCATTAGGCCCGTCCTGTGCTGTCCCATTCACGGGACTTGCTGGAGACCCCAAGAAGGTGTGTCCACATTCCTGACAGCCTACAGAGGTGGAATGGCCCCCAAACACAAGGCACACTGCTGGACAGTGACAGGAGGTTAATGTGAGCCAGCTCTCTGGCCTCCCCGCACGGGAGGCCAACCTGTCTGTCCCAGGCCTTGCAGTAAACACTGGCCATAGTCATCATGATGGAACTGAGATAAACCCTTTTATTTATTTATGCTTCTCCATTTTGTTTAAAACAACAACAACAACCTTAATGTAACTGACAGCCCTTCCCCCCCTCACCCTGCCATGGGCTGGGGGGGTTGTTAAAGGGGGAAATGGCCCCCAGGGGTGGGGCTAACCATAAGAGCCCCTCAGGGAGGTAATGGAGCCCCAGTCCCCTGCTCAGGGGAAGGGGCACCTGTAGTGTATGAGCGAGGAGGTGACAGCGCTCAGGATCTCTGCTCGTACCAATGGACACCTTTGGCCAACAAGGGTCATGAAGCATGTGGGGAGGGGGCTCCGACATTTCCTCCAGCACCCTGCCAGCCCAGTTGCAGGACCCAAGGGCTGGGGTGTAGGGGAGCGCAGGAGGGGTAGGGTAGGTGTCACACGAAGGAGTACTGGTTATTAATGGCTCTGGGATGGCCCCCTTCTTCTCCGTCGCCCCCTAGTGGCAGCTGCTGGAGCTGTACCATCGGGACCGTCTCTGGGTCCCCACCTGATCCAGCGGCCTCAGAGCCCGGTGCTATGGCCTCTTCCAATTCAACCAGGGGGACCAGCTCAACCACGGGGACCAGCTCTTCCGGGACCCCTCCACTGCCCGCTTTCTCTTTCTCTTGCCTCTCTTTGGCTGCTGTGGCTGTGGCTGTCGCCACTTCTGGCGCCCCCGCCGCCTCTTCTGCCCCAGGATATAGGGGATCTGTCCATGAAGGGGGTTCGGGGGGTTGGGGTGGGTCATGGGAGGTGTTCGGTTCTGGATAGGAAGGGTGAGAAGACAAAAAGATTGTGGAGGGAGGCGAGCTCGGGCCGTGGCCTGCCCGGCGCTCCTCACCCCCTGCCCAGCTCCTGAGCAACCCCCCAACCTGTGCGGAGATGGATCATGGGCAGCGGTGAGAAGAGGACCACACTTACACACAGTCACTCGCTCCGAAGGGCATGAGGGTGGAGGAGGCATCGGGGTAGCATCGGTCTCCCTCGCACACCCCTGCATGGCTCCCAGCCTGCTCCCGGCCTGGGGATGGGGGTGGGGGCGAGGAGGGGGAAGGGGCAACGTGGGGACAGATGGGACATTGGGTGGGGGAAAGGGAGAGATCAGACAGGGACATCAGACATCAAGGGAGGAGGGGGTGGGGTTCAGACCAAGCACCCCCACAGAGGGCAGGCCCGAGGCAAGGGCATGACGAAGGGCAAAGCCAAGGCTGGGGAGGACGGCTCTGGGAGACAGACACATGATGAACACAGGAGGCCGATGGAATGGGGATGCGCCAGCCCAACTCAGCTGCCTTCCGGCCCCGCACACAGCCCCCCTGCCTGTCGCCTGCCTTCCGGTCTGGCACCGGGGGTCCCCCACCCCGTCCTGCCCTGCTCTCCCCTCAGAGCGCCTCCTCCTCACAGCCCCCCACCCCACCTCTCTGGTACACACACCTCACTTCTCGGGTGCACGGGCACCTCCTCCCCTGCAGACCTGCTCTGCTCACCCTGCTGTCGCTGGGAGGGCACATAGCTGACCAGGACCACGTCACTGGAGTTGCCAGACTCCAGCGGGATGGCGTGTGCCCGGAAATGCTCAAGCATATCGAAAATGGACTGGAACCACAGGTGCTGGACGCGGCACTGGCCCTCCTCGTTCAGCGACAAGCGCAGGTGCTGAGGGCACGATGAGCGGGTGAACAGGGACATTAGCCCCTGCAGGCGCCAAGCTCCCCCACAACCGAGTCCCACCAGCCTCACACACAGTCCACTCACCTTGGCCTTGCCCTGGAAGTTGAAAGTGAGGACGTATTCGCCCCGCCTTGTCTCACTCTGCCGCACCAAGAAGACACCGTGTGAGCTGGCGCCTCCTTCTAGTACTAACTGAGCGGCCTTGAGTCGAGAGAGCATCCCATGGAACCACGGGTATCCTGAGAGGGGCTGGTCCCCCTCACTCCCCTCTGCCTCTCCCTGGAACAGGAATGACCCTGCAGGAAGCAGCGAGGGAGGAAAAACAGGGTGTCAGCCTGAGGGGAGGACTCCCCCCCCTCCCAAGGCAGATCCCCAAGGCCTGGGGGGCGGTGTACAAGACAGATACACTTGCTCCTCTGGTACCTTTGGCCGTTTCCGGAGTATCCAGGGAAGGATATGGGGCTGCAAGGGGATGAGCTGTCCCCACCGGGGGTCCCTCCTCAATGGGCATGCGGGGAGGCAGCTCCGGGGGGAGCAGTTCCATCGAGTCAAAGTGGGAGGCAGCGATGGAGGCAGAACTAGGGGAGATGGATGCCGAGGGGCGGTCTGAGAGGCCCCCGTAGGCCCCTGTAAAGAAACAGAAAGGGACGGTAAGTGCTCAACAAGCCCCCAGTCTTCAGAATGGTGCACCTCTGAGGGGACAGCCCCAGGTTCCAAGGTGCAGGTGCCCAGCACCGAAAGGGGCTTGTGTTTTGACAGCTGACAGTGCTAGGGTGGGGAAAAGTGGGGTACATCCCCTCAGATATTCTGACATGAACAGGGACTACAGAGAAAGCCCCAACTCTAAGAGGCGTCACAGATGCTCCTGCAGGGGCCAGCACTGAGGTATAGCATGGAAAGCCACTACTGGCATCCCAGATTGGCAAAATTCATGTCCTAGCCACTCTAATTTCCAATCCAACACACTGCTAAGGGCCAGGAAAACAGTAGCAGAAGACGGCCTAAGCCCTTGGGCCCCTGCCACCTGTTTGGGAGAGCTGGAAGAAGCTCCTGGCTTTGGCTTGGTTCAGCCTACTCCCCTGATGGGGAGTGAACCAACAGTTGGAAGCTCACCCTCAAATAAATGAACAAACAAAATCTTTTAAAAAAAGAGATGCTTCTGGGCCCGGAGCAGTAGTCTAGCAGCTAAAGTCCTCACCTTGTACGTGTTGGGATCCAGGATGGGCGCCGGTTCTAATCCCGGCTGCTCCACTTCCCATTCAGCTCCCTGCCTGTGGCCTGGGAAAGCAGTCAAGGACGAGGATGACCCAAAGCCTTAGGGACCCTGCACCTGCCTGGGAGACCCGGAAGAGGCTCCAGGATCCTGATTGGAACAGCTCTGGCCATTGCAACCAACAGAAGATCTTCCTCTCTGTCTCTCCTCCTCTCTGTATATCTGACTTTCCAATTAAAAAAAGAGAGAGAAAGGCATTTCTGCTGTCAATTACCCCTGAGTTAAATGTACTTCACCTTGGCCAGTAACCATTCCACAGCCCATCATCCTGTCTGGCCTCTGTGGGGCTGCGTCCTTGGCTCTTGCCTCCTTTGCGCAGCCCCGCACCTGCCCTGTCTTGCCCCGTTCTCCTCCTCGCTCTAAGGCACTTTCTGCTGTGCTGCCCCAAGGAGGCTCAGCCCAGACTATCCATTCAATGGCTATTTTTTTATTCACAGTGATCAGCCTAGCTAGACCCGAGCACCCGATCCCCCACCCCCAGTCCTCCTAAGCATGTGCTGGGTAGCAGGCCTGAGCTCCACCACCTGAGTACCGGACACACATACCAAGCCAGATGGTGGCTCAGGTGCCAGGCTGGCAGGGACTCTCAGGGGGAGGGGGGTCCTCAGAAGAGGGGGGTCCTTCCTGGAGCCTGAGGACTAAGGGGCTTCGTTCTAGCCCTAAGCTTTCTTTCATTTTCCCAGGCCTAAGCTGTGTGCTGAGTATGGCCCGAGTTCTAAGCATGGTGAGGCTGCAGCGCAGAACACAAGGTCAGGAGCTGAGGCTTCTGTACGTGTGTGTGTGTGTGGGGGGGCTGAGTAGGGGCCTGTGTGTGTACGGCGGTGGGGAGCAGATGAATCAGGGCCTGTGTGTGTGTGTGTGAAGGGGAGCAGGTGAGTTATATTTATATGTGTGTGTGAAGGGGAGTGGGTAAGTTGAGGCGTGTGTGCCTGTGCGCATGCTTGGTCAGGCTGCAAAGCGCAGTCATTGATACACACATGTGGGATGCAGACATTTAAGAGAGCAGGACTAAGGTGCTGGCCTTTAGGACGCTTACAGAGAAAAAGTGACAAAGGCAGAGGGTGGGCAGACGGGCAGGCAGGGAGGTTGCTGCTGGGGGCACCCACACCCCATCTCGGAGAGCTTGGCTTCCAATCCAGCTCTGCTCCTCACTGCTGCCCAGTGCAGGAGTCCCTGGCACTCCTATGAGGGACCTGGGCTGGGTTCCAGACTCTGGCTTCAGCCTGGGTTAGTCCTAGCCACTGCGGGCATTCAGGAGGGGAAGAAGAGCCTGTCTTTCCATCTCTTTTTCTTTTCAATCAAATAATAACAAAAGGAACGTTTGTCTTAAGTGACATGTCTATTCCAGAAGGCTGGACAATGTGCTCGGGGCCTGGCTGGGGTGGCGGCAGTGATGGTTCTGAATAGCCATCTGCCCTGTTAGTGAGTTAAGCTGCCCCTGGGATGCCCCAGCATCCTTACCAGAATGCCAGTTCCAGTCCTGGCTACTTTGCCAACCAGCTCCCTGCTGATGTGCCCAGAAAAGCAGAAGAGAGCTCGAGGACTGGGGAGCCCCTGCCCCTGTGCGGGAGACCCCTGGAGTTCCTACCCTTGGCTTTGCCTGGCCCAGCTCTAGCTGCTGCAGTCATTTGGGAAGTGAACCAGCGCAAGGAAGATCATTCTATCTCTCCCTCTCTCTGTGTGCCACTCTGCCTTTCAAATAATAAACAAATAAAGTATTTAAACAAAACACAGCCATGGTGGCACTCAGAATGCTTGGCCTGTTCAGTACAGAGGGCAGGATTTCAGTGGGGTGGGCGAGGGGAGGGGTGCACGGGAAGGCCTGGGTGGGCAGAGCGAGGGCTGGAGGTGGCCAGCCCTCCAAAGCACGGGCCTTACCCTGCGACAGGCGGTCGTTGCTCTCACTGGGTCCCAGCAGTAGATCCTGGCTGGGCAGGCTCTCGGAGTGATTCAGGCAAGGCGGTTCCAGGTTGTCTGCATTCTCACGGGAGAGGAATGAGGTCCCCGGCACCAGGGGGAGGGTCATGGGGCGGGGACTAGTAGTGGGGCAGGGGCTGCAGAGACGAAGGCGGCAGATGAAGATAAGAGGTGTGGGGGGCCACTCCATGCCTCACCCCCACCCCTGGGGGAGACAGGATCTGGGTGGTGGCTGGCTTGGCCGAGCTCCTCACCCTGGGCTCAGGCACTCTTGGATGTCCGACACCCAGGCCTTCACATGGAGAGCGTCGGCTGTCTCTAGGATGTACTCCGAGGGGCCTTCCACCTGCGGGCACACAGGATGGTCCCAGCCAGCGGCAGGCTCACAGAAGAGGCCCTCAGGGCCAGTTACAGATTCTGAGGCCTCAAGCCACCGCTGATGAACACAAGAACACCTCCCTCTCTGTCCCCTCCCACGGTCCCGGGAGAAGCCGCAGCCCCAGTGACAGAGTCTTAGGGCGTGTGACCTGCTTGTACCCACCTCCTGGTGGGGGAGCCTCCTCCTACCTTAACCACAAACGTGTTCTCCCGGTCGGGCATCTCCAGGGCAGTGGTGGTCCGCACATCTGTGATGGCAGAGCAGGGAATGCTGAGCCGGGGCCGAGATGCCTAGGATGGGGGAGTGGAGAGGATGAGGTTGGTTTTGGGGTGTGGTGAGACAACTGCCACCCGCCTTCTGTGTCCCTGGGGGCAGTCAGACAAAGGACAGCGACACTGCCATCCCAGTCCTGCCCACAGCAGCCAGCTGGGAGAGCCCAGGAGCTCCCTGTGCATCCGCCCCTCCCCCATGCACACCCACCACCCCACACGCGTGTGCCCCACTCTCCGTCCGGGACTGCCCATCCTCAGGGCCTTACCTTGGGTGGCACAAAGAACTCCAGGCGACTTCCTCCTCCTCCTTCTCCTTCACTTCGGAGCAGTAAGCGACACTTCTGCCATTGAGGCTGCCCGCCTCCCCCAACCCCAGGCCCTGCTGGCCCCCCGCCCCGGCCCACTCCAGCAGGGTCAGGGGCCGCCTCTTCGGCCCCCATGAAACTCAGCAGCTCTTCCCTCTGCACCAGCCCTGCACTGTCCTTCAGGGGCCCCCCACCCCGACTCAGTCGCAGCCTTTCAAACCGGTGAGTCCACCTTTCCCCGGGAGATGGCCCGTCACTGGCCGATGGTCCCCGGCCAAGGGTCCCAGCTCCGCCAGAGGAGTTGGAGTTGGTGTTTCCACCTAGGACTGGGGGGCCTGATGTTGTCTCCAGGGGCCCAGAGGAAGAGGGCGGGTCCACAGTCCCCCGCCACTGCAGGATGCCACGCACGGAGCCCCGGACCGAGCGGCCCACTGAGCGCAGGGAGAAGCGTTTCTTTAGCTTCGGCTTCGAGGTCGTCGAGGAGGAAGAGACTGAGGAAGGGAGGGGGCCGGCCAGGTCCTCGGTTGATCGAGAAGGGCCCCGCGCGGCCAGGGGCCCGCCCACCCTGCAGCTCTCAAGGGGGTCATGCGACAGCGGTGGCACTGAGATCTCCATGCCTGGGCTCAGGGGAGCCAGGGCCGGCGGGGAAAGGGAGCCGGAGGCCCGGGCCACTTCGGCCTCAAAGTGCTGCAGAAAGAGCTCGGCAAATCGGCGGGAGAAGGCGGCCTCGGCCCCAGGCCCTGCATACTGCGGGTGCGAGGCCAGGTAGAGGCGGAAACGGCGGGCAAAATCCAGGGCAGCGGCCCTGGCATGGGACTCGCAGAACTCCCTCCAGCTCGGAGGCGGTGGTGGTGGCAGGGGGGGTGGGGAGGCCCCATCCTCCTGCGGGGAAGGGGCACCATTCATGATGGCCCCCAGGAAGTGGTGGGGTGAGGAAGACTGCGAGGAGGGGCAGCAAAGAGGGAGGCGGCCAGAAGATGTGGGGTGAGCGGCAGGAGCTGTAGGGGGGAAGAGAGAGGAGTCATGGCTGAGGGGGGATGGGGTGGGTATCCCCCCAGCTCCCCACTGGACCCATTGCCCCAAGGTCTCGCCCTGAACCTCTCTGATCGCCTTCCCATCACTTTTCTCTGGCTTGCGCTCCTACAGCAAGAAGAAAGTACCAAGCGCCTTCCTCAAAAAACAAAAAAGAAAAACAAGCAAATAAAGGGAAACTTCTTCCAGATGCTTCCTTACTCAAAGACGGAGCTGACACCTAGCACTGCTGTCCACACACCAATCCAGAGCCCTGTTCCCCAAGTGTTTTACCTTACCTTTCCTCAGGGGGCTGGGGTGTTACCAATCTTCAACAGAGGAGACCAAACAGCAGAACCCCAAGTCTATCATCTGTCCCCCTGCAGTCTGTGTCCCCCAGACTTCGTACCAGTTGTGGTTTGGGCTCCCTGTCACCACCACCCCGCCCCAGCTTTGGGGAGTTCATGGGAGGCCTGAAACTGCTGTAGGAAGTGAATGGATGGATGCTGGCCGGAGACAACTTTCTTGAAAGCTGAGCATCCAAGCAAGTACCTGCACAGCACCCTAACAGCCCACTTTTTTCACCTTAAGCTGTGTCAGGTGGGGGGGGGGGGCAAATCTGTTGGCCACAACATATACAAAGACATCCCAGGGAGCTGGGATGTGAGTGGAGAGGATTAATTCTAAGATTTTTTCCCCCCTTCTTATCCCGCTTTCACTGGCCAGGGTGCCGTAAAGGCTGGTGAGCCAGGCTGTTAAGGCCAGGCCGTAAGTTCTCAAGTCAGACCTCAGAGCTGTGTGATCTCGCATCAGACACACGTGCCCTCCGAGCCTGAGCTTTCAAAGCTGCAAAACAGAGCTGACGACCCTTTATCACCTAGAACCCATGACAGAATTCAAGGGACAGGAACAAGCCAGAGCTTGCAAGAACCAGGGAAATAAGCGCCACCAGGACTGTATTGAGGGAGCAGGCCAAGACTAGGGTTCCAATTTGCTAAAAGAAAAATCAGCCCTCCTAAATTCACAAGCTGGCCGCGTGGGTGGAACGGCCAACCCCTGGCTCCTCCCCTTGGGACCTGGGGCGGGGGCATCCCAGCCAAAGGCTCCCCAAACCCTGTCTGGAAACAGGCGATCTCACCTCCTCCTTCCGGGCTGGGCCTAGGTCTGGCACACTCAGATGTCCACCACCTCCACCCCCCAAACCACAGGGCTAACTCCAAACCAGCAAGAGGCAGCCGGGAGAGATGCGGGGAGTCACCCAGCCAAGAGGTGCAGACGCGGCAGAGCCTTGCTGTCCAGCCACAGGTCACCCCGGCTCACACAGGCCCACCCGGAGTCCCTTTCAGGACCACGGCCCCGTCGGCTCCTAAAACTGCCGAATCCGCTTGCCTTCTGCCAAGCGGGAGCACTCTGACACATTTTTCCCATGCACCTGCCTCCTGGCTCACTTGTGCTCTTTCCCGGAGGGCAGCTGGGGGACGCTGCCGGCTCGGCTCCAGGCTCAGACCCCTCCGGCCCTCGGTGGTCCATCCACTCGGACCCGATCCTACTCCGTGGACATCCCCCAACCGGCCCATTCCCCCCTGCTCCGGGGTGCAGCGGCTCGGCCTCCTCCACCAGCCAGCCCTGTCAGCCGCACTCTCCGGAGCCCAGGGTGTCCTCCTGGACCCGGGGCCCCCCACGCCCACCACCACCCACGGATTGTCTCGGCCTCCGTGGCCGGGGTCGCGCAGGGGGAGAAGAGACACTTGAAAAGGACGGGGGGGTTCCGGTTCCGGTCCCACCTGCATCTCGGTCCCCGCAGTCCGGCGGCGGCGGCAGCTCCCGCTCCCTGCACACCCCCCACCCCTGCTACCACCACCTCAGCGACAAGCGCCCAGCGCGGCGCTGCGCAGGCGCAGGGACCCCCTTCTTCCCGTCGCCGAAGGAAACAACCATAGAGAAAAGTAGGGAGAGGGAAGGGCACGTTCATACTCACTTCCGCCATCGTCCGACCACTCTGCGGCGGCTGTACGAGAGCCAAGAGGGTGGGTCTCCCGCCGGGCTTCCACGACCTCTCCCGCGGGCACCTTAAAAAAAAAAAAAAAAAAAAAAAGGACCAGAAAAAGCCGACGCGAGGAGGAGGAGGGTGATGATGTCCCGCCAGGGAGAGTCTTCAGTAGGTTCGGGACAAAGGCGAGAAACCACAGAGATGCTGCGTAGGGCTAGAGTAGCCGCGGCCGATCGGAGACCGCTGAGACGAACAGGCTTTCTGAAGGATGCGCTACAGCTAGAGCGCAGAGCACTCTGCGGGCCTGAAGCGGGTTGCAGGAGGCGTCCCCCAGAATACGGGCTAAGGGAAGAAGAAATAGGTGACCTTGAGGGGCGCCCCCGTGAGGAGGTGGAGCCTGAACTTACGACCTTGGCTTTCTCTGAGGAAAGGGAGCAAGCCTTCGAGGATGCTCGTAGCCGAGGCAAAGGGGATGATGTGTGTTCCCACGCGTGTGCGCGCACAGATGAAGGAGGTCCGCCTAGGGTGTGTTTGTGGGGGTTGTAGAAGCGACACCCACCCTGATTACAGAGGTCTTCTGACTGCCCTTCTTAGTGGCCTGAACACTAGGCAGTCGGTGGACTGTCGCTGGTCCTACCCGAGGCTGGGGACCACAAGGTACCCAGAACCAGTGGCTCACCATCTGTAGTTCTGCCTTCTCTGCAAATTATTTTTTAAAGTTGTGTTTATTTTTTTTCAAAAGGCAGATTTACAGAACGAAGGAAAGACAAAGAACTTCATCTGCTGGTTCACTCCCCAAGTGGCTGAAATGGCTGGAACTGAGCTGATGCGAAGCCAGGAGCTTTTTCTGAGTCTCCTATGTGGTTCCTAGGCTTTGGGCCGTCCTCTCCTTCCTTCCCAGAACATAATCAGGGAGCTGAATGGGAAATGGAGTAACTGGGACATGAACTGGTGCCCTTATGGGATGCTGACTCCCATCTGTTTGTATAACGCCCAACTTAAATCCTAATAGCTCAATGACTCTCATAGAAGGAGCAGGCCACTTTTCTGAGGTCCCCATAACTAGCAGACTGGATTAAGAAATATCCACCAGGCACCAGACATCTAAGAGGTGGAGCTGTAGCCAAGCCCATGCAAGAGTGCTGGCTTGGGGCCAAGCATTTGGTCTAGTTGTTAAGGTTCTGGTCAGGGCTTGGCATGATGGAGTAGCAGCTAAAGTTCTCGCTTTGAATGTTCCGGGATCTGCCCCAACCGCCCTGCTTCCCATCCAGCTCCCTGCGTGTGGTCTCAGAAAGTAGTCGAAGACAGCTCAAAGCCGTGGGACCCTGCACCTGCGAGAGAGACCCGGATGAGACTCCTGATTCCTGGCTTTGGATCAGCTCAGCTCTGCCTGTTGTGGTCATTTGGGGAGTGAATCATCAGATGGAAGATCTTCTTGTTTCTCCTCTCTGTATATCTGACTTTCCAATTTAAAAAAAAAAAAGCTACTTGCTGAGACACACGGTGTAGTGTCCAAGGTGTTTCCCACTACCAGTGAGGGCAACCCCAGCTTCAGCGTATGTGGAAATGAGTTTATTGGCTCAATGAGTTTTCAGCACTCCAGGCATGCCTGATGCCAGAGGTTCAAAATATAACCCCTCCCCTGCGCCATCAGCCTATTAGCTAAAGTCCTCACTTTGCCTGTGCTGGGATCCTATGTGGGCACTGGTTCGTATCCTAGCTGCTCCACTTTCCATGCTGCTCCCTGCTTTGTGTCCTGGGAAAACAGTCCAGGACGGCCCAAAGCTTTGGAACCCTCTACTCCCGTGGGAGACCTGAAGAAGCTCCTGGCTCCTGACTTGGGATCAGCTCAGCTGTGGCCATTGCAACTATTTGGGGAGCAAATCAGCAGATGGGAGATCTGTCTCCCCTTCTCTCTGTAAATCTGCCTTTCAAAAAAGATTTACTTATTTGAAAGAGTTATAGCCATTCCCCACGTGGCTGCAGGGGCTGGGGCTGGCTGGGCTAGGCCAAAGCCAGGATCCTGGAATACCATTTGAGTCTTCTATGTAGGTGCATGGGCCCAAGCACATGTACCACCTTTGGGTGCTTTCCCAGGTACTTCAGGAGGAATGCTGGGTTGCGAGTGGAGCAAGAACTCCAGCTGGCACTCATACCAGATGCTGGCACTGCAGACAGAAGCTTACTGAGCCACAACGCCAGCCCCCTTAATGAATGTTTTAATCCAATCCTGCTTCAACAATGAAACCTCCGTATGCACTGGGACCACTGTTGCTCCATGACTGTCCCAGCCTGCAAAGTGCCTTAGTGGGCTGGGAGGGCACCGGGGACACTCAGCCTGTGTGTCTCTTCACTTGGTTGATTTGGGACTGATTCCCAAGAGCAGCACCCACCTGTACTCCAAGGTGTTCTTGGGACTCTGAACACAAGCAGGAGGGTGGGGCAGCCCCCTGCAAAAGCCGCATACAGACTGGCCCACATCAGCTAGTGTCCTTTCTTAATGCATGTATTATTTATTTGAAAGGCAGAAATAGACATTCCAGGGCCAGTGCAGTAACCTAGTGGCCAAAGTCCTTGCCTTGCTTGTGCTAGGATCCCATATGAACGCTGGTTTGTATCCTGGCTGCTCCACTTCTCATCCAACTCTCTGCTTATGGCCTGGAAAATTGGGGTCCCAAGCCTTGGGACCCTGTGCCCACATAGGAGACCCCAAAGAAGCTCCTGGTTCCTGGCTTCAGATCTGCTCCGCTCCACATTGCAGCTGCTTGGGGAGTGAACCAACAGATGGAAGATGTTTCTTTCTTCTCTCCTCTCTGTAAATCTGACTTTCCAGGGTCCAGCACAGTGGCCCAGCAGCTAAAGTCCTCACCTTGAACGCTCCAGGATCCCATATGGACACCGGTTCTAATCCCGGCAGCTCCACTTCCCATCCAGCTCTCTGCTTGTGTCTGGGAAAGCAGTCAAGGATGGCCTAAGGCCTTGGGATCCTGTACCTGTGTGGGAGACCTGGAAGAAATTCCTGGCTCCTGGCTTCAGATCGGCTCAGCTCTGGTCATTGTGGCCACTTGGGGAGTGAACCATCAGGCAGAGGATCTTCCTCTCTGTCTCTACTCCTCTTTGTATATCTGACTGTTCAAATAAAAATGGAATACATCTTTAAAAAATAATAAAAAGTTTCTAAGTGTCTCTCCTCGCTCTGTTGCTGTTTAAAAATATGGAATGCTTCACGAATTTGCGTGTCATCCTCATGCAGGGGCCATGCTAATCTTCTCTGTATTGTATTGTTCCAATTTTAGTATATGTGCTGCCGAAGTGAGCACCACAAAAATGAATCTTAAAAAACAAAAAAAGAAATGAAACAGCTGGGACTCAGACTGGTGTCCAGGTGGGATGCTGGTGCTTAAGCAGTGGCTTGACCCACCACACCACAACACTGGCCTCCCTATAATGTTTATAAATACAGCTTTATCAAGATACAGTTAACCTACCACCACTGTGATACTAAAATTAAGAGTCTGAGTTTTATTCTAAGTGTAATGAGTGGTCACTGAGGGGAAATACATTTGATGCATATTTTTGAAATGATTTTTTGTTAAAGATGCATTTATTTATTGAAAAGGCAGATTTACAGAGAGATTTCCCATTTATTGGTTTATTCCCCAAATGTCTGTAATGGCTGCGGCTGGGCAGGTCTGAAGCCAGGAGCTTCTTCTGTGTCTGCCATGTGAGTGATGGGAGCCCAGGCACTTATCCCATCCTCTGCTGCTTTCCCAGGTGCATTAGCAGTGAGCTGGATGGGAGGTGGAGCATGCAGGACTCAAACTGGTGCCCGTGTGAGGTGCACATTGTTAGCTGGTAGCTTCACATGCTAAGCCACAACGAAGCAGCCCGATTTATTTATGTTTTGAAGGCTCATTGTCAGGGTATTAGCAGGGAGTTGAATGGGAAGCAGAGTAGCCAGGACTCAGTTGACAACTCTGATGGGGATCCTCTCGTAGGTAACTCACATGAGAGACCAGGATGGAGTTCTTGGCTACAGCCCCGTCTAGTGCAGTCCCAGCTGCTATAGCCAGCTGGGGAGAAAACCAGTGAATCGAAATGTTCACTCTCTCTGCCTCTTCTTTGCTCTCCATGCTGTTGATGGTTACCGCGGCTACAGAGCAGGGACCCTATGCATCAGACCAATCTCTGGCCCGACCAGAGGTGTAGATCCGGCACGTCACCATGGCACCCTGGCGGACCAATGACGCGCCCTGGCGGACCAATGACGCGCCCTGGCGGACCAATGACGCGCCCTGGCGGGCCAATGACGCGCTCGGGCCGACATTTGTTCTCCTAGAACAAGAGCGTTCCCGCGCTTTAGGAGAGGACAAAGGTCTCCTGCGGATTCGGAACAAGATGGCTAACCGCGCACGGTTTGTGTAGCTGAGAGTGCAAAGAGAGAGGGACAGAATTAAGCAGTGGAGAGAGCAAGAAGTGTAAGAATTGCAGGGAAAGGTGTCCGAAGCTGCCTGGGACCAAAAAGATTCACACAGGCAGAACAGCAACTCGGGGAGGCAAAAATCCTCAAGACGCTCCAGACGGCAACGGCTGGCAACGTGCACCCAGAGCTGCCGGAGGCGGAGACCACCCGGACCATACAGACTCGAAACCTGGTAAGTCGCAAATCCACGAAGGGAAGAAGTCGGCGGGAGCTTTAGCTGACCCATAAGAGACGGAGGGAAGCAGAAAGACTCTTAGATCAGGACACTGGTGGGATTAAAAAAAAAAATCCCGCCGGAGAACTGCGGGGGCGCAGTGCGGAGCAACCTCTCCCAGAGCAGGGAACGCCTTTGGGGAAAGGGTAGGTAGTTGGGAAGTGAAGTG